TGAGGTGGTAGAGTTGCTATGTGGGCATCTTGATGAGGCAGCAGTGCAGAGTTTAGCAAGGTGTCTTCTTAAAGATCTACTGCCAGACAATGTGAGTGTGGCACAGGCCATTGAAGAAGTTCTTCCTCACTCTTTCTCGTCGTCTTTGTACGACGTAGTTCATGCTCTTTTGCAGCTGTGGCGTCGCAAAGTCCCCCGTGCCAGTATGAGAATACTGTGCACTGCCTTGAAGTCTATCAACCCGCATGTATCCAACTGTCTCCACCAGTATCTTGTATCGAAACGCACGGAAGACTCACAGGCTGCAGAACTTCTTTCTTCAGCTGCGACAGACAGCTCTGTGCATTCTGTCATGACTGTTCCACCAACGGAGTCGGCATCGTCAGCTGACTTGCTACGTGAAGTATTGACTCCAGTTCGCCGCCAATTGTTGTTACTGGCTTGCCGTGTGTATGCACAGCCCAGTGCAGACACAGACAACATGACCAGCTGTAGTCAGTCACCTTCACCTAGTCTAGAACTAGCCTTCGAACATTATGGCTTTGATTTCACGAACGTGGCTGTCTCGCCCGCTGACTGTCATCTTCTTTCGTTAGTACTGAGGAATCACAGTAGGTCTGTCAGTGCTGTGTGTCTGAATGATTGTCAGATTACTGATGATGGTTTTGAGCAACTCACTACTGGTCTAACTCATTGTCATGGGCTGGCTAAGTTCTCTCTCCCAAACAATGCACTGACTGACCGTTCTGTGGCACGTATCCATAGTGTTATCTGTGAAAACCACACAGCTCTTCAAGAACTTTCCTTAAAGAATTTGCAGCTGACATCATCTGGCTATGCTCAGCTGGTACCCGCAGTGCTCACATGTCATGACCTGGTGTACCTGTCCATAGGTAGTGTGTCCTGTCAGGATATCAAAACTAATGTTCTCATAGCTATCACCGTGCTGGCTTACTGTAAGTCTCTTACAAGTCCCTGGTTTTACTTCCCGATCGGTGATGATGGTCTTGGTCTGCTTTCTGAGCTGCTGACAGGACGGCCATTTCGTTACATGGCCTTCATGCATGCGATGCTCACACCACACAGCACTTGGGTTGTCAAACACGTTCTTCGTGTGCACTCTCAGTACCTTGCAGTGCTTAACTTGAGCTACAATGATCTTTCTGACATGTTTCTGTGCAGCATTGCACCATGTCTGAAGCAGTGTAAATCACTGAAGACACTGGCGCTCTCAGAAACAGGCCTTACATCACAGTCACTTCCGGTACTCGCTGAAATTGTGTCTTCTTGTCCTGATCTCCAGCTTGTTGGTCTGCATGGGAATGACTTTCAAGCGGAGAATGACGAGGGCAGTAGGCAGTTTGCATCAGCTGTATATGAATGTCAAAACCTTGCGGTCCTTTCAGTACCAAAGCGAGAGTTAGTGAATGATCAGCTATGGAGATTACTTGACTTTGTTGCAGGCGAGAGAGCAGGTCAACTGCGGATTCATTGCTGTTGACATTGTTGGGCATAACCAACAGTGAAGATAACGTGTATATGCGCAGTGGAAGGAATGCTATCGCTTGTCAGACATGTAAACACTAGACACAGAGATGAACATTATTTCTATAATACACTGGTCATGTGATGTCATGTTGAACCACTGCTGGTGGTCATGTGATGTCATGTTGAACCACTGCTGGTGGTCATGTGATGTCATGTTGAACCACTGCTGGAATGGTTACTACTGTACATGGTATTGATCAGGGAAGTTGAGGAAGAGAGGGAGAGTGGAGCAGGACGATATATGACACTGCAGTTGTGTCTGTTGGTGAAAACACTTGCCACACACACATGCTGTGCGGAAGCCTGCTCGTTCAGTAGAAGTTGGTGGCTTGTCTGTCCGGGAGCCCCGATGGTGGTTCAGCACGTTCTATTCATAAGGTGAACATGTGATCATGTGATGAAATACTTTATTTTTATGAACACTGTCTCACCATTTCACATTTTTGTGGCAGTTGTCACATTTCTATTCCATCACTTGACTATGGTATTTTATGCCTGTGACATCACATGCCTATGATGTCATAATAACTATGTTGTCGCTTCATCATCCTCGGCGATTCCTCGCACTCTGGCCACGGCTATGTGGTAGCCTGACTATGACATCACCAGACGTCATTGTGACACGACTATGACATCATAATGTGTTAGAATTATTTTTAGTTTGAGTACCGTATATAATGAGATAATTATGTTCTGAGTTCAGTGAGTATATTGGACATTGGAGCAGAAACTGGTGGTACGGATGTTACGCACTGACGTTGATCGGGCTCAGCAGTCACCTAACTGGAGAGTGAAAAGAGGTTAGCTTGTTGTGTGTTGCATTACAGTTGCAGAGTTGTATATTTATGACTGGTTCACACTAGGCCGAATTTTTGGTACGTGCTCCAACACCAGACACCCTTAGCAAACAACGGTAACGGTATTATTTACGGTACTCGTACCCTTATCACCCAAATAGCGTTGAAGCTGCAGCGTAAAAACGTTATGGGGTGTGATTTATCGTTGTGACCAGGGAGTCGTAAAATACCTATATATATGGTATTTTACGACTCCCTGGTTGTGACCAACGGTACGTTTTGTGGCCAAATATTGCATAGTCCGTACGCATTTCACCTTGTATCGCGTATATGGTGACATAAATGGTTGTACCGCACGAAATAATAGCATTCTCGTGGCAACAGCGTTCTAAAAATAGCGTGCATCTTGCTAAAGGTCGAACCCGAATCACGGTATTTTCCCCCTTACGGTAATACCGTTACAACATAACGTGTTTTGCTAAGGGTGTCTAATGACTCCGACATGAAACGGTCGACTGCGTTGGATGAGTCAGACTAGCTGTTCACACGCAACGGTGAGCAATTTTGCTTGTACTATAGTTGAAGGCCTGTCAGCTCACACACGTACACGTACACGTGATACACAGCCGAGCTAGACCCTTGCCTTGTAGACACCAGGCAGTGAAAAAAATACACGTTTTGACACTAGCTACATGCAGTACATGGTCAGAGTTGTGAAAAGGCTGACACATCTACATCTGCATGTAGTAGAGATCCAGTGCAGCCAGTTCATCGTCTGTACCCTCGCTCTCTGTTGTCATGGTGAAAAGCCGTCAGTGATTGGTTGGAGGCCCGTTTGATCCACTACATGCAAGCACTATTGGCCAGCTTTTGTTATCAGCCTAGCCGAAAGCGCACACAACAAGAAACTCGTCCCAGATATGTCGGAAACTTGTACGACAACATCGTCAGCACTAGAGGTTTTTTCGCACCGATCTTTACAGATTTCTGTACAAGTCCATGGCAGCGGAAAATCGGGCTAGTGTGGACTAGGCATAAGTAATGATTTGCTGCACTGTGTTGGTCTTTGTATTGTGTATGGTGTTGCAGCTTGCACTGTGCTGCATTGTGCTGGGCTGTGCTGTGCAGTGCTGTGCTGCATTGTGCTGTGCTGCACTGCGCTGCGCTGCATTGTGCTGCACTGTGCTGCATTGTGCTGCACTGTGCTGTACTGCGCTGTTTCATGTTTCCTGGTATCATGTGTGTGCTGATTAGCACACCAATACTCCGTTACTTGTTTCTCCTTGAATTAAGTCTGTGCGGTGTTTTCTGGTTTGTGTGTTGCAATACAGTTATTGTGATTTCATATGAATGGCTCTTGCAAGATATAATTTATTAAATTATATTTTGTGTTTCTGTTACTCATTACCTGGTGTGTTCTCTTCTCTGTTTCTCTGTGTTTTATTTCAGTGAAAGATTTTCAGAGATCTCAGCGTACTGGCTGTTCTCTGTGATTCCTCCGCGGTCATGAAGCAAAGCTGAGTGGCATTCAGTAGCATTCGTCTGCCGGGGAAAATCACAGGATTGGAGGGCAAAGATGGTGGTAGTTGTGTGCCGAACGCTCTAATGCAAGTATTTCTGCCAGAAGACTGGAGTGAAGTGAGTAAGTAGACTTTCTATTGTTAATAATCTGCTATTTGTTACTACTGGTAACTGTACAATATTCACCACACATTATTGTTTGCTATTTTCACGACAAGAGCGTAAGTGCCAGGTTCCACTGCGGCTCCGCTGCTCATCGTCCGCGGCTTGAAACGTCATCATTACCATAGTGGCCGCGGCTCGAGCTGGAGCAGCGAGGTCGCGGCTCACAGCGACCTTTTGCTACGATTCTTGATCAAAAACTGAGAGCCGCGGTCGCGGCTCGATCTGTTTCCCGTGCTTTGCACTGTTTTGTACGCAAGAATTTTAAAATTCAAATTTCATTTCGTTGCGCAGGCCAGAACACGTGTTTTTTTGATTTCGTGGTACCGCAAATGATGAGTGTCAGTGGAACCGCGCTGCTCCGCTGCATGCAGCCAAGTGCCGCAGAGCAGCCGAGCCGCAGTGGAACCCGGCCCTAATGTGAATATTGAGCGAAGTCAAATTTGAACAGTGAGTTTATGAAAGTGGCCACAGTCCTTTGCGAACATTATCCATTGTAAACTCCCTGGTTCTAAGAAATGGCGAAAATTAGTGATGCGAATATCCGTGTGTTTCCAGAATTCTAATTCTACCATACTAACAAGTCAGACATGTATTATGTGATTATAGTACTGTAGGGTCATGAAATTTGTACCGGCTAGGATTTCACAACACACACCATACCGGTATATACCGTAAAATCCCGCCAGAGCGCACCGTCTCTTCCATGCGCCCATCCCTGACTTTTTGTCAGGGAAGTTATTGATTGTATCCTCGTGTGACTCCATGATTCCGTACTGTCCTGCAGACGAGTGCTCGACCCGGTCATTTTTCCTACTAGTGATGGTGATGGTGATGTTCCTGGTGATGGTGATGATCCCGTAACTGTTGCTACTGCTGCTACTGCTGCTGCTACTGTTGCTGGTGGTGCTGCTATTTATGCAACTGCATGTTGCTGCTTTTTGTTTGTGTTTTTCTTTCTGAATTTTCCCGTTGCACTGCTACAGATATGTTTGTGTTATCGTATCAACAGCAGAGTGGTCCTCCTGGTATTTCTGTAGCTGTGTAGCAGATGGATGTGACTACTACAAGGTATGTCAAAGAGTATCATCAACTGTACTTATACAGCTTCTTATAAAATGTATACGAGTGGGCAATCTCTGAAGTATTATTAAACCATTGATATTGCTACTGGTGGTGCTATTTCTCCTGACTCCATTGTCTTTCTGTGCTGTGCTTTCTGTGCTACTGTTGCTGCTTGTGTGTGTGTGTGTGTGTGTGTGTGTGTGTGTGTGTGTGTGTGTGTGTGTGTGTGTGTGTGTGTGTGTGTGTGTGTGTGTGTGTGTGTGTGTGTGTGTGTGTTGGCCTTGCCCGTCACAAGTGTGTGGCTTAGTCTCCAGCCGCAGTGGAGGCGTGTTGTGGCGCGCACTGTGCGTCATGCGGCCGCTGCTTCCGTTCGGGCCAGGGCAGGAATAGACACCGCTGCTCAAGTTCTCCCCCGGCCATACGTCAGTCTTGGGGTAACAGTTGTAGGTGACCTGAATCCTGACGACCTCTCGTTGTGTCCTGGACGCCGTGGGACGGCGTTCTCCTCTTCTCTCTCCGTTGCTACTCCAGGCCCACGTGACCCTTGTGGCAGTGGCTCGATAGGACAGGACAGGACAGGTGTGTATGTGTTTGTGTGTTATTCTTGCTGCTGCTGTTGTTGCTGCTGCTGTTGCTGTCGCTGTTTTTGCTGCTGCTGCTGCTGCTGTTGTTGTTGCTGCTTCTGCTTCTGCTGTTGTTGCTCTCGCTTTTGTTGCTGCTGCTGTTGCTGCTGCTCCTGTTGCTGTTGCTGCTGCTATTTCTGCCTCCCACCTCTACTGCTACTGCTGCTGATTCTGCTGTTTATGTGGCTGCTGTTGATGTTGCTGCAGCAGTCACGTCTCTTTCTGTATGTGTGTGTGTGTGTGAAAAAATGGAAAAATGGATAATAGGGATTCACTGGCCAGAACAAGTCGCTTCAAACAGCTGTGTGGTGGTTACCAGGCTAGTCAAGTGGCGCTCAATTCATCAGCCTTGCAAGCTGTTGAATGGTGTGATCCCAGCACAAGTCACTATGTCTAACATAGCTGTTCGCTATCATCGCTTCCGCGATGGGCATGTCTGAGGTCTGAGGTGTGTGTTTGTGTGTGTATTCATGTGTTGTCATAGTGTCTATTGCGGATAGCGTTGCCAGTGTCTCTACTGTTACTGCTGCTTCCTCCATGGTCAGCTGTGCTGAACATTGATCCGTTACGTGTGTGTCAGCGAGTACTCAGATGATGGGCAGAAATCTGGATGGCAGAGCTGCATCTTAGTAAGGTACAGGTTGTGTCTAAGGATTTCTTTTTGTCAGTTACTTTCCCTTGCCCGTCTCCTGTTTCCATATATGGGTGGGTTTAAACTAGTATAGCACGGATCTGGTTTGAAAATAATCCCCGGTCACATGACCACACTGTGGTAGTTTTGGTGGGAACTTGAAGACGGCTGGTCATGTACTGTCATTTCTGAATATGACGTTTACTGCTGGTGATACTGCCACTGCAAGTGTTTCTATACTGGTGGTAGTGCTACTGTAGCTATTGATGTGCTGCCAACTAATGTAGCTGCCGTCCTGGCAAGACCTGTACTGTTGCTGTGCTGGCAAGACCTATATTGTTTCTGTGCTGTTGCTGTACTGTTGCTTTCGCTTATGTTGTTGCTGCTGCTGCTGTTGCTGTTTCAGGGGTATTATCCGCAGTGGCGGCGTGGTTGCTCATATTGCAGCGGGTTGTTCTGCCAAGGTCTCCATATGCAAAGTGATCTGTTGGTTGATGGACGGATGACGGGATGGTTCAGTATTGAAAGGTACATTTTTATTTATTAACTAGTACCCCTGTACTGTTAGCACCCCAACCCCTGCACTGTTAGCACCCCCAGCCCCTGCACTGTTAGCACCCCCCCCCCCCCTCCCCATCTCACGACACCCATATTCGCATGGAATAGCATTGTATAATTGGAGAATTGTCCTTGGAATAATTGTTTAACTTCAACTTCTCCTCGTTACATGCCCAGCTATACACAGGGTTGGAAGGGACTTTTTGTTTCCACTTTACATACTCATTCATTCATTCCTTCTCTTCCATGGCATTCTCTCCAAACTCTCCTTCCCATGACACCAAGGAATGGTGGCTCTGCTTATTCAAACTGTTGTGTCTGTCTCTCTGCTGCTGCTGCTGATCTTGACACTGCTACTGCTGCTATTGCTGGAGATACTGGTATTTGCCTGTTTATGCCTCTGCTTCTGTTTCAGTTGCAGTTGCTGGTAGAGTTGCTGAGAGTGTGATGCTGCTGTGATAGAGATCATGACTGATGGTGATGTCAGTAGCTGTACTATTCCTCTGCTTCATCTCTGGTCCTGGGGAACACGAATCAGATGTATGCAGATCAGTGAGGTTTCTGATGACCTACACATACCTGGATGATATTGCTGCAATGCAGAAAGGTACAGCTTGTAGAAAAATATAATCTTATTGTTAACTATTATTATTATTATTATTATGCACTTACGCGTCAATGTCCGCGGTGGTAAACCGCCCACAAATTCGCACGTGCTGAATGGACTTGGGAATTGGGAAATGAAAAAATAAAAATAAAAAGAGCAACGACAACAGAAATAGAAATACAATACAAGACGTACCTGCTAAGGGGCACATGACAGCATTGCTCAGATTGAACAGAGGACGCAGACACAGGATAAAGGGCATTGTCGACTCCGTTTTGAGAATAATCCAGTAAAATGGTGGCAGGTGGATGCAGATCCACGCACTACGTTAAGAGAGGAATTTTGTTGGTATTTAAAAAAGATGTTTATTATTATTACTGCAGCAGTTATGAAAAGCAGTACTGTGATATTTCGGAGCAATATTATTTGGTTTTAGTCGTAGACGCCACTATTGGACTTGCAGACGTCCTTGCAAAGGTCCTTCCACTCCCCTCTGCCCTGTGCAATCTCCCGGAGGGAGAGGAGATCAGACAACGTCTTGAGTCCCCTCCGCCCCACTCTCTGCAGGTCACGGGATAGCACGATAGGCAGAGTCGTTCTTGGCCGTCCCCTCCACACTGTTTCCTTCACCTGGTAATAGTTAATCATAGCCGCCACAGCAGGACATCCGTCAGGCATGCGCAGTATATGGCCAAAGAGTCTCCATCTGGCTAGGCGAACAAAGTTAGATATCGGTTGTGCTTTGCACCTCTTGTAGAGAGCAGCATTGCTTATTGTTTGTGGCCACCTAATACCGATGAGACTACGCAACTGCCTGCGGTGAAACGAATCCAGTTGGGCCTCGGCCACTGAAGTGGGTGCCCAGGTGCCGCTGTTGTACAGTAAGACTGGCATCACGAATGCGTTGTACAGCCTCAGTCTCAATTCCTCACGCACTAATGTTCTCCGCTTCCAAAGACTGTACATTGCTCTGTAGGACGCTGTTAACTACATTATCTTATCCCTATCTTCTTTCCCTATTTAGATGTGTTCAAACTTATAATCAAAACAGGTAGAATTGGATAATTGTCCTGGGGAAAGGACTGCACATTGTTTTATCTTCACCTGTTGCTATTGTTGTCGTTGCTGTTGATATTGCTGCTCTTTCTGGTCCTGCTGCTGCTGCTGCTGCTGCTGCTTTTGCTGCTTTTGCTCCTGCTGTTGCTCCTGCTGTTGCTTCTGCTATTGCTCCTACTGCTGCTGCTGCTGCTGCTGTTGCTGCTGCTGTTGCTGCTGCTGTTGTTGCTGCTGTCGCTATTGCTGCTGCTATTGCTGCTGTTGTTGCTGCTGTTATTGCTGCTGTTGGTACTGCTGCTGCTGCTGCTGCTATTGCTGTTGCTACCGTTACTGCTGTTTTGCTGTTGCTGCTGGTACTGCTGTTGCTGCTGCTGTTGCTACTATTGCTGCTGTTGGTATTGCTGCTGTGTCTGCTATTGCTATTGCTACCATTGCTGCTGTGGTCGCTGTGTCTGCTGTTGCTACGGTTGCTGCTGCTGTTGCTGCTGCTGCTATTGCTGCTGTTGTTGCTGCTTTCGCTATTGCTGCTGCTATTGCTGCTGCTATTGCTGCCGTTGTTGCTGCTGTTGCTGCTGTTGCTGTTGTTGCTGCTGCTGCTATTGCTGCTGTTGTTGCTGCTGCTGCTGTTGTTGCTGTTGTTGCAGAATGCTGCTGCTGCTATTGCTGCTGTTGTTGCTGCTATTGCTGCTGTTGGTATTGCTGCTGTGTCTGCTATTGCTGTTCCTACCGTTTCTGCTGTGGTTGCTGTGTCTGCTGTTGCTACGGTTGCTGTTGCTGCTGCTGTTGGTGCTGCTGCTATTGCTGCTGTAGTTGCTGCTGTCGCTAATGCTGCTGCTATTGCTGCTGCTATTGCTGCTGTTGTTGCTGCTGTTGCTGCTGCTGCTGTTGTTGCTGTTGTTGCTGCTGTTGCTTTTGCTGCTATTGTTGCTGCTATTGCTGCTGTTGCTGCTATTGCTGCTGTTGGTATTGCTGCTGTGCTGCTATTGCTGTTCCTACAGTTGCTGCTGTGGTCGCTGTGTTTGCTGTTGCTACGGTTGCTGCTGCTGTTGCTGCTGCTGCTATTGCTGCTGTTGTTGCTGCTGTTGGTATTGCTGCTGTGTCTGCTATTGCTGTTCCTACCGTTGCTGCTGTGGTGGCTGTGTCTGCTGTTGCTACGGTTGCTGTTGCTGCTGCTGTTGCTGCTGCTATTGCTTCTGTTGTTGCTGCTGTCGCTATTGCTGCTGCTATTGCTGCTGTTGTTGCTGTTGCTGCTGCTGCTGTTGTTGCTTTTGTTGCTGCTGCTGCTATTGCTGCTGTTGTTGCTGCTATTGCTGCTGTTGGTATTGCTGCTGTGTCTGCTATTGCTGTTCCTACCGTTGCTGCTGTGGTCGCTGTGTTTGCTGTTGCTACGGTTGCTGTTGCCGCTGCTGCTATTGCTGCTGTTGCTGCTGCTGTCGCTATTGCTGCTGCTATTGCTGCTGCTATTGCTGCTGTTGTTGTTGCTGTTGCTGCTGCTGCTGTTGTTGCTGTTGTTGCTGCTGCTGCTGCTGCTTGCTGCTGCTGTTGTTGCTCTTGTTGCTGCTGCTGCTGCTGCTATTGCTGCTGTTGTTGCTGCTATTGCTGCTGTTGGTTTTGCTGCTGTGTCTGCTATTGCTGTTCCTACCGTTGCTGCTGTGGTCGCTGTGTCTACTGTTGCTACAGTTGCTGTTGCTGCTGCTGCTGCTCTTGCTGCTATTGTTGCTGTTGTTGCTGCTGTCGCTATTGCTGCTGCTATTGCTGCTGCTATTGCTGCTGTTGTTGCTGCTGTTGCTGCTGCTGCTGTTGTTGCTGTTGTTGCTGTTGTTGCTGCTGTTGCTATTGCTGCTATTGTTGCTGCTATTGCTGCTGTTGGTATTGCTGCTGTGCTGCTATTGCTGTTCCTACAGTTGCTGCTGTGGTCGCTGTGTTTGCTGTTGCTACGGTTGCTGCTGCTGTTGCTGCTGCTGCTATTGCTGCTGTTATTGCTGCTGTCGCTATTGCTGCTGCTATTGCTGCTGTTGTTGCTGCTGCTGCTGTTGTTGCTGTTGTTGCAGAATGCTGCTGCTGCTATTGCTGCTGTTGTTGCTGCTATTGCTGCTGTTGGTATTGCTGCTGTGTCTGCTATTGCTGTTCCTACCGTTTCTGCTGTGGTTGCTGTGTCTGCTGTTGCTACGGTTGCTGTTGCTGCTGCTGTTGGTGCTGCTGCTATTGCTGCTGTAGTTGCTGCTGTCGCTAATGCTGCTGCTATTGCTGCTGCTATTGCTGCTGTTGTTGCTGCTGTTGCTGCTGCTGCTGTTGTTGCTGTTGTTGCTGCTGTTGCTTTTGCTGCTATTGTTGCTGCTATTGCTGCTGTTGCTGCTATTGCTGCTGTTGGTATTGCTGCTGTGCTGCTATTGCTGTTCCTACAGTTGCTGCTGTGGTCGCTGTGTTTGCTGTTGCTACGGTTGCTGCTGCTGTTGCTGCTGCTGCTATTGCTGCTGTTGTTGCTGCTGTCGCTATTGCTGCTGCTATTGCTGCTGCTATTGCTGCTGTTGTTGCTGCTGTTGCTGCTGCTGCTGTTGTTGCTGTTGTTGCAGAATGCTGCTGCTGCTATTGCTGCTGTTGTTGCTGCTATTGCTGCTGTTGTTGCTGCCATTGCTGCTGTTGGTATTGCTGCTGTGTCTGCTATTGCTGTTCCTACCGTTTCTGCTGTGGTTGCTGTGTCTGCTGTTGCTACGGTTGCTGTTGCTGCTGCTGTTGGTGCTGCTGCTATTGCTGCTGTAGTTGCTGCTGTCGCTATTGCTGCTGCTATTGCTGCTGCTATTGCTGCTGTTGTTGCTGCTGTTGCTGCTGCTGCTGTTGTTGCTGTTGTTACTGCTGCTGCTATTGCTGCTGTTGTTGCTGCTATTGCTGCTGTTGGTATTGCTGATGTGTGCTATTGCTGTTCCTACCGTTGCTGCTGTGGTCGCTGTGTCTGCTGTTACTACGGTTGCTGTTGCTGCTGCTGTTGCTGCTATTGCTGTTGTTGTTGCTGCTGTCGCTATTGCTGCTTTTGCTGCTTTTGCTGCTGCTGCTGTTGTTGCTGCTGCTGCTGCTATTGCTGCTGTTGTTGCTGCTATTGCTGCTGTTGGTATTGTTGCTGTGTCTGCTATTGCTGTTCCTACCGTTGCTGCTGTGGTCGCTGTGTCTGCTGTTGCTACGGTTGCTGTTGCTGCTGCTGTTGCTGCTGCTGCTATTGCTGCTGTTGTTGCTGCTGTCGCTATTGCTGCTGCTATTGCTGCTGCTATTGCTGCTGTTGTTGCTGCTGTTGTTGCTGTTGTTGCTGTTGCTGCTATTGCTGCTGTTGTTGCTGCTGCTGCTGCTATTTCTGCTGTTGTTGTAGTTGTTGTTGCTGCTGTCGCTGCTATTCCTGCTGTTGGTATTGCTGCTGTGTCTGCTATTGCTGTTCCTACCCTTGCTGCTGTGGTCGCTGTGTCTGCTGTTGCTACGGTTGCTGTTGCTGCTGCTTCTTCTGTTGCTACTATTGCTGTTGTATCCGCTTCTGCTGCTGCCGTTGTTATTGTTATTCCTGCTGTTTCTGGTGTTTGCATTGCTGCTGTTGCTGCTGCTGTTGTTGCTGCTGTTGCTGCTGCTATTTTTGTGGCCGCTGTCGCTGCTGCTGTTGTGGTTGTTGCTGCTGCTGTTGTGGCTGCTGTCGCTGCTGCTACTGTTGTTGCTGCTGTTGCTGCTGCTGCTCTTGCTGTTGTTGTTGCTGTTTCTGTTGCTGTTGTCGCTGTTGCTGCTGCTGCTTTTGCTGCTGCTGTTATTTTCTTTGCTGCCGCTGTTATTTTCTTTGCTGCTGCTGTTGTTTCTACTGTTGGTGCTATTAGTCTTTGCTGTTGTTGCAGCTATTTCAATTCTTTATTCTCACGATGGTACCATCGCCAATAAGCTATTGTTGCAGCTATGTTTGCTGCTGTTGTTGCTACAAGACTTGCTGTTGTTGCTGCTATTATTCTCGCTGCAGCTATTGTTGCTGCTGTTGTTGCTACTAGATTTGCTGTTGTTGGTGGTTCAGAGGTGATTTCTCGACACATGGCTGTGTTTGCTGCTACTGCTGTAGGTGCTTCTGCCATGGTCTTGCAGGACATCTTCTAGTTGTGGAAATGATTTGTTTGTTTGGGTGACTGAACAGAAGACTGGATGGTTCATATTGGAAAGGTACAGTTTGTTTGTAATTATATTCCCTGACACATCTTATCAAGTTAAGTCATCACTGAGCTTGAGAAGGTAGTAACGGACCTTCTTGCGCAGCTTGATGTCATTCCAAGCGGCCTTGACCTCGTCGGAAACTGCTACACCGGATGCCATGATGAACGCTTTCTCCACTTAGCACTCCCCTCCCCACCCCCCACCCCCCCCCCCCTCCCCTCCCCTATCCCAGGAGTCAAAATCCAATATCATTGTATTGTAGTCAGTATGGTGCACATTGGAATGACTTTATTTCGAAAATGCCTTTCTACTCATCTCATTCTCTCATATGCTTTACTCCGTGTGTTGTCCATGCATCATGACCTGGAGTGTTGAACTATGAATGTTTAGACCGCTCCTTCATACAGCACTGTGTGTACACCTACGTATGTGTGTGTGTGTGTGTGTGTGTGTGTGTGTGTGTGTGTGTGTGTGTGTGTGTGTGTGTGTGTGTATGCCTTCACCTGCAACTCTGCTTATCCGCCTGCACAATGCTGTTGCTGTTGCACCTGATGTTGCTGTGGCTGTTATTGCTGTTGATGCTGTTGCTAACTCGGTGCCTTCTTTCTCCTGTTGTTGTTGTTGCTGTTTCTGCAGCTGTTATCGCTGCCTTTGTTGTTGTTGCTGCTGTTTCTGCGGCTGTTATCGCTGCCTTTGTTGTTGTTGCTGCTGTTTCTGCGGCTGTTATCGCTGCCTTTGTTGTTGTTGCTGCTGTTTTTGCGGCTGTTATCGCTGCCTTTGTTGTTGTTGCTGCTGTTTCTGCGGCTGTTATCGCTGCCTTTGTTGTTGTTGCTGCTGTTTCTGCGGCTGTTGCTGGGCCTGCCATGGCTCATGTTTCTGCAGGTGCTGTTGTTATGGTTACCTGTGTTGTGGATGATGAGGTTGCTGGTGTAGGAGACCTGAACATTACTGGCTACTGTTCATTACTAGAAGGTAAGGTTTTCTGCTGATGTGTGTATGTCTATACAGAACTGCTCTTGTCAACCACTACCAGCACTGTACACACATTAGCAACACTGTACACACATTAGCAACACTGTACACACATTAGCAACACTGTACACACATTAGCAACACTGTACACACATTAGCAACACTGTACACACATTAGCAACACTGTACACACATTACCAGCACTATACACACATTAGCAACACTGTACACACATTAGCAACACTGTACACACATTAGCAACACTGTACACACATTAGCAACACTGTACACACATTAGCAACACTGTACACACATTAGCAACACTGTACACACATTACCAGCACTATACACACATTAGCAACACTGTACACACATTAGCAACACTGTACACACATTAGCAACACTGTACACACATTAGCAACACTGTACACACATTAGCAACACTGTACACACATTAGCAACACTGTACACACATTAGCAACACTGTACACACATTAGCAACACTGTACACACATTAGCAACACTGTACACACATTAGCAACACTGTACACACATTAGCAACACTGTACACACATTAGCAACACTGTACACACATTAGCAACACTGTACACACATTAGCAACACTGTACACACATTAGCAACACTGTACACACATTAGCAACACTGTACACACATTAGCAACACTGTACACACATTAGCAACACTGTACACACATTAGCAACACTGTACACACATTAGCAACACTGTACACACATTAGCAACACTGTACACACATTAGCAACACTGTACACACATTAGCAACACTGTACACACATTAGCAACACTGTACACACATTAGCAACACTGTACACACATTAGCAACACTGTACACACATTAGCAACACTGTACACACATTAGCAACACTGTACACACATTAGCAACACTGTACACACATTAGCAACACTGTACACACATTAGCAACACTGTACACACATTAGCAACACTGTACACACATTAGCAACACTGTACACACATTAGCAACACTGTACACACATTAGCAACACTGTACACACATTAGCAACACTGTACACACATTAGCAACACTGTACACACATTAGCAACACTGTACACACATTAGCAACACTGTACACACATTAGCAACACTGTACACACATTAGCAACACTGTACACACATTAGCAACACTGTACACACATTAGCAACACTGTACACACATTAGCAACACTGTACACACATTAGCAACACTGTACACACATTAGCAACACTGTACACACATTAGCAACACTGTACACACATTAGCAACACTGTACACACATTAGCAACACTGTACACACATTAGCAACACTGTACACACATTAGCAACACTGTACACACATTAGCAACACTGTACACACATTAGCAACACTGTACACACATTAGCAACACTGTACACACATTAGCAACACTGTACACACATTAGCAACACTGTACACACATTAGCAACACTGTACACACATTAGCAACACTGTACACACATTAGCAACACTGTACACACATTAGCAACACTGTACACACATTAGCAACACTGTACACACATTAGCAACACTGTACACACATTAGCAACACTGTACACACATTAGCAACACTGTACACACATTAGCAACACTGTACACACATTAGCAACACTGTACACACATTAGCAACACTGTACACACATTAGCAACACTGTACACACATTAGCAACACTGTACACACATTAGCAACACTGTACACACATTAGCAACACTGTACACACATTAGCAACACTGTACACACATTAGCAACACTGTACACACATTAGCAACACTGTACACACATTAGCAACACTGTACACACATTAGCAACACTGTACACACATTAGCAACACTGTACACACATTAGCAACACTGTACACACATTAGCAACACTGTACACACATTAGCAACACTGTACACACATTAGCAACACTGTACACACATTAGCAACACTATACTACTCCCAGCTGTATATGTATAGACAATGTACACTGGACACTCTGCCCACGTAACTGCATGTGCCTGCAGTACTCCACATGTCATGTACAATACTCCCAACCAGTTTACAAGTGATCCCGTGTTCTGTTTTCAAACGGGTCCAAGTACCCCCCCCCCCCTCCCCGGTAACGAAATTTTTTAACTTAAGGAAACAATTCAAGGAGTACGGTATTCGTTAGCCTTGAGGTTGCGCACACCGTACGGACTTTTTCGTATTGGTTCGATGCTAGCGCTGCGGGTACGAAGAGAGTGAAGACAGGGAGTAGTATGTACAATGTACTTCATAGGACGGTGGGGGTGAGTGGATAAGTCTCACAACCACTGGTACAAGTGACGAGAAACGCCATTAGCTGCATCAATGTATCCCTTTGTGCCTGGCCACCAGTTCCCCGTTTGACTGTGGGTTGCAGCGCTAGGGTTTACAGGGTGTTAGCGGCCGTCATGAGTTCCATTCGGGAATGGACACGATAATTTACTTTTTTACTTACTCCATATGACGAAAACTAGTTTCGTAGATCTGCTCTGTTTCGGTCGCGTTTGGCCGAATTTTCGCGGCAACTTTCGTTTCTCGAACCCGGACGGGCATGGTCTTACGAATTTTCGTTGTGCACAACCCATCTACTGTCGGGTACCAGAGAACAGGAAGTGTAGTAGCTGAGACCGGTGCTGAGACCGGTGCTATCTTTCAAGTACTGCTATCCATCCATGCACAGTCAAATCATCGTGTATACATCGGTATGCCCTTCTTGCTGAGATGCAGGAAATGCAGAAATTAATGTTTGTTCTTTGTAACCTGCCAATGCTGTCATCTTTTAAAAACAAGCATACAAACTGGTGCTGGTAGTTCCTGCTATGTAATCATGATTTCAAGTATCAAGTCATCTGGTCGGTGATGATGTAATACGATGATGTCATTGTTTTGTTGTCTTCTGTATGATTGTGTTGAATGCAGAGAATGCAGAGGATTGTCAAGATGTACATTGTACATGTCCATCTGTTCAGACAGTACACAAGGTGAATGAAGATGGAACATATCCATTTCATCAAAATTGTTCTCTTCTCAATTGTTTTATTTTGATCTTGAAACTGCTACCTTCCTTGTTGGAGAAGTAACGTTGTCCCCCCTCCCTTATCACCCCTCCCCCTTATCATCCCTCCCCCTCCCCTCCCCTCCTCCTTATCACCCCTCCCCTTATCACCCCTCCCCTTATCACCCCTCCCCTTATCACCCCTCCCCTTATCACCCCTCCCCCTTATCACCCCTCCCCCTATCACCCCCTCCCCCTTATCACCCCTCCCCCTATCACCCCCTCCCCCTTATCACCCCTCCCGTTATCACCCCTCCCCCTCCCCCTTATCACCCCTCCCCCTACATCCTTCCCCAACCACACATATCATTGTGTATTTTAAATGTTACACACAGCTAGGCTAGGCAAGTTTTCATGATATTTTCTTGCGGTAATAACTGCTGGTGACTACTTCAATTTCACTAGAGAAATGAAAAGACCATGGTTTACCGGTACTTGATGAGTGTGTTTGTTCATGATCACATTCATACACAAATACTCGTCTGCGTATCCATGTTGCACTATTATAACTACTGACCTCGTTTTTGCTGCTGTCCATGCAATGGACTACATAAAATTATTATTTTCCACTGCATTCTGCACCCGTTTTCTTCCTACTGTTTCCCATAACTCAGGTGATAATATGTTATTACCAGTGATGTGTTTGACTACTTCTCTTGCCACATATAGCTGATACTAGTGATAGTAAAACTGGATGCTGTTCTCCAATTCATGACTGTATATTATTATCATTAAACTGAGTACGGTACTCGAGTACTTGTGTAGTTCAATATCTCCACACTGTAGACTGGTTTGTGTACTGGCACACTGCATTGTTCAGTGGACAGTGTAGCGTCATGCTGGTCACGTGACCTCTGTGCTGTTAAAGCTGATTCATACCTCATTTCGCGTACTGGAAAATCATCGCGCAATTACCCAAGACGTTGAGCTCAAGTCAATGTTTTCGCGATGCTGCGACGCGTTTCCCGTACACGAAATGAAGACTTCATGTGAATCAAGCTTTAGACACCGATGTGCGGTGGCCCTATGGGGCAGTCATGCTATAGTAGTAGTAGTAGTAGTAGTAGTAGTAGTAGTAGTAGTAGTAGTAGTAGTAGTAGTAGTAGTAGTAGTAGTAGTAGTAGTAGTAGTAGTAGTAGTAGTAGTAGTAGTAGTAGTAGTAGTAGTAGTAGTAGTAGTAGTAGTAGTAGTAGTAGTAGTAGTAGTAGTAGTAGTAGTAGTAGTAGTAGTAGTAGTAGTAGTAGTAGTAGTAGTAGTAGTAGTAGTAGTAGTAGTAGTAGTAGTAGTAGTAGTAGTAGTAGTAGTAGTAGTAGTAGTAGTAGTAGTAGTAGTAGTAGTAGTAGTAGTAGTAGTAGTAGTAGTAGTAGTAGTAGTAGTAGTAGTAGTAGTAGTAGTAGTAGTAGTAGTAGTAGTAGTAGTAGTAGTAGTAGTAGTAGTAGTAGTAGTAGTAGTAGTAGTAGTAGTAGTAGTAGTAGTAGTAGTAGTAGTAGTAGTAGTAGTAGTAGTAGTAGTAGTAGTAGTAGTAGTAGTAGTAGTAGTAGTAGTAGTAGTAGTAGTAGTAGTAGTAGTAGTAGTAGTAGTAGTAGTAGTAGTAGTAGTAGTAGTAGTAGTAGTAGTAGTAGTAGTAGTAGTAGTAGTAGTAGTAGTAGTAGTAGTAGTAGTAGTAGTAGTAGTAGTAGTAGTAGTAGTAGTAGTAGTAGTAGTAGTAGTAGTAGTAGTAGTAGTAGTAGTAGTAGTAGTAGTAGTAGTAGTAGTAGTAGTAGTAGTAGTAGTAGTAGTAGTAGTAGTAGTAGTAGTAGTAGTAGTAGTAGTAGTAGTAGTAGTAGTAGTAGTAGTAGTAGTAGTAGTAGTAGTAGTAGTAGTAGTAGTAGTAGTAGTAGTAGTAGTAGTAGTAGTAGTAGTAGTAGTAGTAGTAGTAGTAGTAGTAGTAGTAGTAGTAGTAGTAGTAGTAGTAGTAGTAGTAGTAGTAGTAGTAGTAGTAGTAGTAGTAGTAGTAGTAGTAGTAGTAGTAGTAGTAGTAGTAGTAGTAGTAGTAGTAGTAGTAGTAGTAGTAGTAGTAGTAGTAGTAGTAGTAGTAGTAGTAGTAGTAGTAGTAGTAGTAGTAGTAGTAGTAGTAGTAGTAGTAGTAGTAGTAGTAGTAGTAGTAGTAGTAGTAGTAGTAGTAGTAGTAGTAGTAGTAGTAGTAGTAGTAGTAGTAGTAGTAGTAGTAGTAGTAGTAGTAGTAGTAGTAGTAGTAGTAGTAGTAGTAGTAGTAGTAGTAGTAGTAGTAGTAGTAGTAGTAGTAGTAGTAGTAGTAGTAGTAGTAGTAGTAGTAGTAGTAGTAGTAGTAGTAGTAGTAGTAGTAGTAGTAGTAGTAGTAGTAGTAGTAGTAGTAGTAGTAGTAGTAGTAGTAGTAGTAGTAGTAGTAGTAGTAGTAGTAGTAGTAGTAGTAGTAGTAGTAGTAGTAGTAGTAGTAGTAGTAGTAGTAGTAGTAGTAGTAGTAGTAGTAGTAGTAGTAGTAGTAGTAGTAGTAGTAGTAGTAGTAGTAGTAGTAGTAGTAGTAGTAGTAGTAGTAGTAGTAGTAGTAGTAGTAGTAGTAGTAGTAGTAGTAGTAGTAGTAGTAGTAGTAGTAGTAGTAGTAGTAGTAGTAGTAGTAGTAGTAGTAGTAGTAGTAGTAGTAGTAGTAGTAGTAGTAGTAGTAGTAGTAGTAGTAGTAGTAGTAGTAGTAGTAGTAGTAGTAGTAGTAGTAGTAGTAGTAGTAGTAGTAGTAGTAGTAGTAGTAGTAGTAGTAGTAGTAGTAGTAGTAGTAGTAGTAGTAGTAGTAGTAGTAGTAGTAGTAGTAGTAGTAGTAGTAGTAGTAGTAGTAGTAGTAGTAGTAGTAGTAGTAGTAGTAGTAGTAGTAGTAGTAGTAGTAGTAGTAGTAGTAGTAGTAGTAGTAGTAGTAGTAGTAGTAGTAGTAGTAGTAGTAGTAGTAGTAGTAGTAGTAGTAGTAGTAGTAGTAGTAGTAGTAGTAGTAGTAGTAGTAGTAGTAGTAGTAGTAGTAGTAGTAGTAGTAGTAGTAGTAGTAGTAGTAGTAGTAGTAGTAGTAGTAGTAGTAGTAGTAGTAGTAGTAGTAGTAGTAGTAGTAGTAGTAGTAGTAGTAGTAGTAGTAGTAGTAGTAGTAGTAGTAGTAGTAGTAGTAGTAGTAGTAGTAGTAGTAGTAGTAGTAGTAGTAGTAGTAGTAGTAGTAGTAGTAGTAGTAGTAGTAGTAGTAGTAGTAGTAGTAGTAGTAGTAGTAGTAGTAGTAGTAGTAGTAGTAGTAGTAGTAGTAGTAGTAGTAGTAGTAGTAGTAGTAGTAGTAGTAGTAGTAGTAGTAGTAGTAGTAGTAGTAGTAGTAGTAGTAGTAGTAGTAGTAGTAGTAGTAGTAGTAGTAGTAGTAGTAGTAGTAGTAGTAGTAGTAGTAGTAGTAGTAGTAGTAGTAGTAGTAGTAGTAGTAGTAGTAGTAGTAGTAGTAGTAGTAGTAGTAGTAGTAGTAGTAGTAGTAGTAGTAGTAGTAGTAGTAGTAGTAGTAGTAGTAGTAGTAGTAGTAGTAGTAGTAGTAGTAGTAGTAGTAGTAGTAGTAGTAGTAGTAGTAGTAGTAGTAGTAGTAGTAGTAGTAGTAGTAGTAGTAGTAGTAGTAGTAGTAGTAGTAGTAGTAGTAGTAGTAGTAGTAGTAGTAGTAGTAGTAGTAGTAGTAGTAGTAGTAGTAGTAGTAGTAGTAGTAGTAGTAGTAGTAGTAGTAGTAGTAGTAGTAGTAGTAGCAGTGTGTGTGTGTGTTGGGGGGGGGGGGGGTATGTACCGTATGACTATACCCAAATAAGAATGTATAAACATGCATGAGAGAATGTAAAATATAATAATTGTTGACATGGTTACTACATGTGTGCTAGTAGTATACAAAAGAAAGATTTAATTTTAATGGGACCATAAAGTGAACAATATTGGACGCGGTGGATCGGGTGCCAGCCAACACCAATTTGTCACGGAGTGTCGTGCTTTAGCTCACTGGCCGCATTAATGAATTATAATTATCTTGTCATTGACTCATATATCGCTGGCGTGTTGTTGGGCAAAAGTGCGTATACCAGTGGAAAGAAGAACGCATCGACGTGCACTGATATCGCATAGATATACTTCTTTTTGAAGTACTTTTTGAATACCGGTATGTCTCTTATACGGGAAATCACAGACCATGATATCACTGGCCTGACACAACAACTAAAGAAAAAGAAAACAAAACAAACAATTTTTTTAAATAAAAAGACAATGAAATTTGACAATCTGCACAGAATGACAACTCCATTCATAGATATCAGTGTGGAATTCCGGAGTGTGAATATCAGTGTGGCATTTCGCACTGAAAGGTGGGTTAAGCCAAATAACGACGTTACGTACAACCAGCGCCAGTACGTCAGCGCAAGATTTTCAGCGCTGCCAAACTGAGAGCCTGTGAAGTAAGTTATTATTCAAACATATTCGCCGGATGAGTACGCGTGGCCCAGGCACCATGGGGACCCACAAATACAAACCAGCATAATTATAATTATTCCCTCAGCAATACAGGCAAGCAAGCAAGCTAGCAAAGATAAACCTGAGAGGTAAAGTTAGTTTAATAGCGTGACTACAAACCAGTCATTACAGTGGAATTTCGGTGAGCTGTCTTGTCCCTGATACATGTATCGCCATTCTGTCAAATGCCTTTCTGTGAAGTGTCTTTCGGTAAAGTGTCCAGTCGGTGGGTTGTCCATTCTGTGACTTGTCTTGCGGTGAAGTGTTTTTCAGTGAATTATTGTCATTTTGGTGAATGGTCGGTTATGGCAATAAAAGAGGAAGGGAGCGTCTCAGCTTCCTCGGACCAAGACCATTCGACTCAGCAGTCAGCACCTCGAAGACTACAACTGGTGGAAATTTGATTTCTGCCCAATCATCTTTCTGAGGCAAGTTACAGTTACAGTTGCTGGTGTTGTCTGTCGGCAAAGTGTCCTCGGTGCCATGAAGACTTCAGGCAAAACACATGGTTCGTTTTTCTGGGGCTGATACAATAATAATTATCAGTATTAGTACCCATGGTACGGGTACTAGTACTAGTACTAGTAGTAGATCAACATGACAGTAAAACTAATGACTGTAATCAGGTAATGATGACCCTGTACATCATGTACATGTCACAGTCAGTGGTCCACGGCACAATCATAAGGCCATCATTTTTTATATCTATGTTTCGCGTCAGTTCAACTTCCAGAATCATATGCGAGAGGTGGAAAAAAATAAAAAAGTTGCAAAATAATAAAAAGGCTCATCAGAGGTGTATAGAACTGTACATAGCATAATACTCAATAGCTCGTGCATGGTGTACATTCGAAAGAAAAATCGTACATCGAAGCACAAAATCTGCATCACTTTGGACAGAGGAGGCAACCGTTGGTGCCCTTGCTTCGCTGGATTATTGTACTCAGCCTTCAGCAGCGGTGCAAAAAGCTCCGGAACGACGTATCCTCTCAGCTTGAGGCGACCGATGCGGTCTGTTGTAAGCTCATAGAATACTGCTCGCAGATGCCGAACAAACGATTTACCAACGCTGGCCTCGAGGCCATTTCTGAATCCCAGTTTCGCCGTATGCAACCAGTCAACACCGATGACTCGCACGATCGTACACTAAACTGTGCATGATTGATTTTTTATTTTTTTCCGAAAAAAATCAAAACGTATGCGTGCGGACGACGCAAAACATAGATATAAAAAATGATGGCCTAATCATTCGCAAGCCACCAGCCTGACCAGGCCATGCGCCAGGTCTGGGGGCTGTACATAATCATTAGCCTGTACTGACTGTAGCCTAGGACTAAAGAGTCGTCGCCTTTTACCATGTTCACGAATACGACTCCTTGGCCTGACCTGTGACCACTGCTACTACTAGTGCTAGCTGAGTGCTAATCATTATTATGTTCATGTACATGACTGTACAGTCAGTCATACCGTGATACAGTATGAAAACCACAAAATCTGAGCTGCAAGAACGGAACGCTAGTCCGGGCGGTAAAAAAAAGGCTAGAAAACAGTCGTTACCTTTCCTCACTAGTGCACGATCTTCGAGCGAGATAGACGTAGTCTATATTGATAGAATCGGTGTAGGTCTGAGTTTTTGTGGCAACCAGAAACATTTATCCAACCCTAGCCCACAAACTGTGTTGGTTTGTCGGGCTAGGGGTCGTGTCGTGTAAACTAGATAAGTGGATGGTAGAGTCTACTGCTCGGTGAGAGAGAACGGCTGCTGACACACACGATTGAGAGTATCATGTACCCGATTAGCAGTTCCAAAAATCTGGCACAGGCCAGACTTCGCAATATGAGTAGTCGTTCTCCGACGTCTACCAGTGATCATGTCCAGGTTCATCATGCTGCGTCGGCTAGTGTCGACTACCCTGTCGCAGGTCCGCTCATGGCCACATCATCACCAACACAATCAAGTCCGAGGAGGTCGTCGCTACCCGATGCAGTTGTCAGGTTTGCAGAGATGCTGAAGAAACGCTACGTTGGTGCTAAGGTACTGTTGGGCAAGGGTATGTGCGCTAAACCGAACAGACGAGCGCTAGATAAGATGTTTGTGAATGTCGTTATCATACCTCGTGAAGACCTGGCATCACTGAATGAACAAACATTCTTCGGTTCGCAAAGCGATGTGCAGAAGTTGAGCCATGTCTTCTCGCGGGTTGCGGACAAAGTGCAGCACGTGCAACTGGCCAATATGTTTGACTTTGACGGGGAAGACATTGATGAAGACGAATCAGTTCGTGTATTGGCTGTTGCATGTGCTGGCGCTGGCAAAACGACCATCTTCGTGTTGAAAGGTCCGCTGGACTGGGCAAGAGGTTTAATGTGGCACGAGTTTGACATTGTGAGTGCGTTAGCATTGCGTGATGCAAGTGTTCGACATGCCAGAAATGTTGTTGATCTGTTACAGCTAGAGCGCTATGGAATTGTAGATGTGGAGGAGCAAAAAGAAATTGCTTCCTTTGTTCATGCCAATCTGAAACATGTGTGTGTGATTCTGGATGGGTTGGATGAAACTGTGCTTGGTGACTGCAGTGATTTTGTGCGTGGCATTATTCGTGGTGAGGAGTTGAAAGGCATTCGACTGCTTCTCACGTCACGCCATTCTGCAGAAGTGATGAAACTGTCTGTTTCATGTCCATTTGATAGGCGGGTTGAAGTACTGGGTTTCACCAAAGGCAATGTTCTCGAGTATGTGAACAATGCTCTCCCATGCACAGAGGCTAGCAGGCTACTAGAGAAGGTGGATGCTGATCCCAGCCTCTCAGCTATTATGCAAACACCTTACTTCACACAGTCGACGTGTGATGTGTTTCGTAGTTGTGGCTCTGTACCTTCATCACTGTTTGGTATCTTCATGTCGTTGATACTGAGTATGATTCGACAGAACACTGAGAGTGCGTATCCAGACTGGGTGTCTGTGCCACGCTTGCTGCAGGAGCAAATTCTTGAGTTGGGTCATTTTGCTTTTGTATCGATAATGAAAAAGAAAGTAGTGTTCAGTGATTCTGATCTAGATGCAGAGCAGGTTTCTAGAGAAAGTCGATCACTTGGTGTTCTTGTAGCTTGTGAGTCACTGTCATACCCGTCCATCACTCAATGGCAATTCAGCCATCTTTCAGTGCAAGAATGTCTTGCTTCTCTTTACATGGCATCCACTAATCCTGATGCCAGTGATGTAGAATATTTAGTGAGGCAAGTAGGAGCTCTGACGGGTCACTTGAGCACATTTTGGTGTCTTCTTGCATCACAACTGACAGCGGTCAGCAGAGAGTCGTTGATTGCATCCATTCTCACACAGCGTATCCCTGATAAAGAGGATGTGAACAAGCTGACATCATGTTGCGATGTGACAAAGTTTCTTCGCTGCTCCGAAGATGATCTTCTTGAGGTGGTAGAGTTGCTATGTGAGCATCTTGATGAGGCAGCAGTGCAGAGTTTAGCAAGGTGTCTTCTTAAAGATCTACTGCCAGACAATGTGAGTGTGGCACAGGCCATTGAAGAAGTTCTTCCTCACTCTTTCTCGTCGTCTTTGTACGACGTAGTTCATGCTCTTTTGCAGCTGTGGCGTCGCAAAGTCCCCCGTGCCAGTATGAGAATACTGTGCACTGCCTTGAAGTCTATCAACCCGCATGCATCCAACTGTCTCCACCAGTATTTTGCATCGGAACGCACGGAAGACTCACAGGCTGCAGAACGTCTTTCTTCAGCTGCGATGGACTGTTCTGTACATTCTGTCATGAGTGTTCCACCACGGGTGTCGTATTCGCCAGCTGACGTGATACGTGAACAATTGACTCCAGTTCGCCGCCTATTGTTGTTACTGGCTTGTCGTGTGTATGCACAGCCCAGTGCAGACACAGACAACATGACCAGCTGTAGTCAGTCACCTTCACCTCGTCTAGAACTAGCCTTCGAATATTATGGCTTTGATTTCACCAACGTGGCTATCTCGCCTGCTGACTGTCATCATCTTTCGTCTGTACTGAGAAATCACAGTAGGTCTGTTAGTCGTGTGCGTCTGCGAAACTGTCAGATTACTGATGATGGTTTTGAGCAACTCACTATAGGTCTAACTCATTGTCATGGGCTGGTTGTGTTCTCTATCCCAAACAATGCACTGACTGACTGTTCTGTGGCATGTATCCATAGTGTTATCTGCGAAAACCACACGGCTCTTCGACAACTTACCTTACGGGATTTGCAGCTGACATCATCTGGCTATGCTCAGCTGGTACCCGCAGTGATCACATGTCATGACCTGGAAATCCTGTCCATAGGTAGTGTGTCCTGTCAGGATATCAAAACTAATGTTCTCATAGCTCTCACCGTGCTGGCTGACTGTAAGTCTCTTACATATCCCCGGTTTTACTTCCCGATCGGTGATGATGGTCTTGTTCTGCTTTCTGGACTGCTGACAGCACGGCCATTCAGTGGCATGTCCTTGGCGCGTGCAGTGCTCACGCCACACAGCACTTGGGTTGTCAAACACGTTCTTCGTGTACACTGCCGGAACCTTCAATTTCTTGAACTGAGAGACAATGATCTTTCTGACATGTTTCTGTGCAGCATTGCACCATGTCTGAAGCAGTGTAAATCACTGGTGACACTGGCGGTCTCAGGAACAGGCCTTACTTCACAGTCACTTCCGGTACTCGCTGATATTCTGTCTTCTTGTCCTGATCTCCAAATTGTTTTTCTGCATGGGAATGACTTTCAAGCGGAGAATGACGAGGGCAGTAGGCAGTTTGCATCAGCTGTACATGAATGTCAAAACCTCTTGTACCTTTCAGTACCAAAGCCAGAGTTAGTGAATGATCAGCTATGGAGATTACTTGACTATGTTCATCGCGAGAGAGCAGGTCAACTACGGATTGATTGCTGATGACATTGTTGGGCATAACCAACAGTGAAGATAACGTGTATATGCGCAGTGGAAGGAATGCTATCGCTTGTCAGACATGTAAACACTAGACACAGAGATGAACATTCTTACGATAGCACACTGGTCATGTGATGTCATGTTGAACCACTGCTGGTGGTCATGTGATGTCATGTTGAACCACTGCTGGTGGTCATGTGATGTCATGTTGAACCACTGCTGGAATGGTTACTACTGCACATGGTACTGATCAGGGAAGTTGAGGAAGAGAGGGAGAGTGGGACAGGACGATATATAACACTCCAGTTGTGTCTGTTGGTGAAAACACTTGCCACACACACCTGCTGTGTGGAAGCCTGCTCGTTCAGTAGAAGTTGTTGGCTTGTCTGTCCCAATGGTGATTCAGCACGTTCTATTCATAAGGTGAACATGTGATCATGTGATGAAGTACTTTATTTTTAAGAACACTCTCTCACCATTTCACATTTTTGTGGCAGTTTTTACATTTCTATTCCATCACTTGACTATGGTATTTTATGCCCATGACTTCACATGTCTATGACATCACATGCCTATGATGTCGTAATAACTACGATGTCACTTCATCATCGTCCGCGATTCCTCGCACACGGGCCACGGCTTTGTTGTAGCTTGACTATGACATCACCAGACTCCATGATCACATGACTATGACATCATAGCATGCCAGAATTATTTTTAGTTTCAGTACAATAATAATCATGATGAGATACGTTCTCAGTTCAGAGAGTAAATTGGACGTTGGAGCAGAAACTGGTGGTACGGATGTTACGCACTGACGTTGATCATGACCAGCAGCCACGTGACTGGAGAGTGAAAAGAGGTTAGATTGTTGTGTGTTGCATTACAGTTGCAGAGTTGTATATTTATGACTGGTTCACACTAGGCCGATTTTTTGGTCCATGCTCCATCACTGATTCCGACATGAAACGGTTGACTGTGTCGGATGAGTCGGACTAGCTGTTCACACGCAACGGTGAGCAATTTTGCTTGTACTAGTTGTAGGCCTGTCTGCTCACACACGTATGTGTACACGTGATACACAGCCGAGCTAGACCCTTGCCTTAAAGACACCAGGCAGTGAAAAAATACACGTTTTGACACAAGCTACATCCAGTGCAGGGTCAGAGTTGTGAAAAGGCTGACATCTGTAGTAGAGATCCAGTGCAGCCAGTTCACCGTCTGTAACCAGGCTCTCTGTTGTCATGGTGAAAAGCCATCAGTGATTGGTTGGAGGCCCGTTCGATCCACTACATGCAAGCACTGAAAATAATTGGCCTACTTTGTTATCGACCAGTACCTAGCCGAAAGCGCACACGACAAGAAACTCGTCTCAGCTATGTCTGAAACTTGTACGACAACGTCTTCAGCACTCGTGCCGATCTTTGCAGATTTCCGTACAACTCCATAGTGGCCGAAAATCGGTCTAGTGTGGACTAGTCATAAGTAATGATTTGCTGCACTGTGTGGTTCTTTTGCATTATGTATGGTGTTGCAGATGGCACTGCGCTTTGCTTTGCTGCGCTGTGCTGCACTGTGCTGGGCTGCACTGTGCTGTACTGCGCGGCACTGCGCTGCGTGGTGCTGCGCTTTGCTTTGCAGAACTGCGCTGTTTCATGCTTCCTGGTATCAATTGTGTAGTGATTATCACACCAATACTTCGTTTCTTGTTTCTCCTTGCAGTAAGTTTGTGCGGTGTTTTATGGGTTGTGTGTTGCAATACAGTTATTGTGTTTTCATATAAATTACTCTTACAAGATTAAAAAAAAATTTTTTAATCTATTTAATTTTATTTTGTGTTTCTGTTACTCATTACCTGGTGTGTTCTCTTCTCTGTTTCTCTGTGTTTTATTTCAGTGAAAGATTTTCAGAGATCTCAGCGTACTGGCTGTTCTCTGTGATTCCTCCGCGGTCATGAAACAAAGGTGAGTGGCATTCAGTAGCATTCGTCTGCCGGGGGAAATCACAGGATTGGAGGGCAAAGATGGTGGTAGTTGTGTGCCGAACGCTCTAATGCAAGTATATCTGCCAGAAGACTGGAGTGAAGTGTGTAAGTAGACTTTCTATTGTTAATAATCTGCTATTTGTTACTACTGATAACTGTACAATATTCACCACACATTATTGTTTGCTATTTTCACATTAAAGGGGAAGTTAAGCCTAAAATCAATTTTTCACCAGCTGTAGTCTTCGGGGTGCTGAGTCGAATGGTCGTGGTCCGAGGAAGCTGAGACGCTCCCTTCTTACTTTAATCCCAATCGAACTCGCGCACTTCCACCGAAACTGGGTGGCTGCGCCCTACTAGATGGGGATTTGTATGCAAAATGTCACTAAAAGCGCCATTTCGTTCTTATAAAAGCACGAATGACCGCGATTAGCCAATATGTTTTAGTCTTTTGGACGCTGAGTCGACTGGTTTTAGTCCGAGAAAGCTGCGATGCAGCGTTCCGCCTTTATTCCCAATCGAACATGGTTTAACAAGCGGCCACGTGCTCCTGCGTGCCCAAGTCGCTGGCTGGTCACTACGCCAGCAGGCGACAACTTTCACACCAAGGTTCAACTCGAGTTCAACTCGAGTGACAGGACTGCACCCAAAAAAGGTCAAACAGGCTAGTAAGTTGTACCCTGCAGGCACAGTGACCAGGTGACTGGTGTAAAATGTATACGAGTGGGCAATCGCTGAAGTATTATGAAACCATTGATATTGCTACTGGTGGTGGTATTTCTCCTGACTCCATTGTCTTTCTGTGCTGTGCTTTCTGTGCTACTGTTCCTGCTCGTGTGTGTGTGTGTGTTACTCTTGCTGCTGCTGCTTTTGTTGCTGCTGCTGCTATCGCTGCCCGTGTGTGTGTATGTATGTGTGTGTGTGTGTGTGTGTGTGTGTGTGTGTGTGTTGGCCTTGCCCGTCACAAGTGTGTGGCTCAGTCCCCAGCCGCAGTGGAGCCGTGTTGTGGCGCGCACTGTGCGTCCTGCGGCTGCTGCTTCCGTTCGGTCTAGGGCAGGAATAGACACCGCTGTTCAGGTTCTCCCCCGGCCATACGTCAGTCTCGGGGAAACAGTCGTAGGTGACCTGAATCCCGGCGACCTCTCGTTGTGTCCCGGACGCCGTGGGACGGCATTCTCCTCTTCTCTCAGTCTCGTGGAAACAGTCGTAGGTGACCTGAATCCCGGCGACCTTTCGTTGTGTCCTGGACGCCGTGGGACGGCATTCTCCTTCTCTGCTCCTCCGGGCCGACGTGACCCTTGTGGCAGTGGCTCGATAGGACAGGACAGGACAGGTGTGTGTGTTACTCTTGTTTTTGTTGCTGCGTCTGCTTCTGCTGTTGTTGCTCTCGCTGTTGTTGCTGCTGCTGTTGCCGCTGTTGCTTTTGCTGTTGTTGCTGCTGCTGTTGTTGCTGCTGCTGTTTCTGTCGCTGTTTTTGCTGCTGCTGTTGTTGCTGCTGCTGCTGCTGTTGTTGCTGCTGCTGCTGTTGTTGCTTCTGCTTCTGCTGTTGTTGCTCTTGCTGCTGTTGCTGCTGCTGTTGCTGCTGTTGCTTTTTTGCTGCTGTTGCTGTTGCTGCTGTTGTGCTGTCGCTGTTGCTGCTGTTGCTTTTGCTGTTGTTGCTGCTGCTGCTTTTGTTACTGTTGCTGTTGCTGTTGTTGTTGTTGTTGTTGTTGTTGTTGTTGTTGTTGTTGTTGTTGTTGTTGTTGTTGTTGTTGTTGTTGTTGTTGTTGTTGTTGTTGTTGTTGTTGTTGTTGCTTCTGCTGCTGCTGTTGTTGCTGCTGCTATTGCTGTTGCTGTTGTTGTTGTTGCTGTTTCTGTTGCTGTTGTCGCTGTTGCTGCTGCTGCTGTTATTTTTGCTGCTCTTGTTTCTACTGTTGGTGCTATTAGTCTTGCTGTTGTTGCAGCTATTTGAATTCTTTATTCTCACGATGGTACCATCGCCAATAAGCAATTGTTGCTGCTGTTGTTGCTGCTATTATTCTCGTTGCAGCTATTGTTGATGTTGTTGGTGATTCAGAGGAGGTGATTTCTCGGTGGCATTCAGTAGCATTCGTCTGCTGGGGAAAATCACAGGATTGGAGGGCAAAGATGGTGGTAGTTGTGTGCCGAACGCTCTAATGCAAGTATATCTGCCAGAAGACTGGAGTGAAGTGAGTAAGTAGACTTTCTATTGTTAATAATCTGCTATTTGTTACTACTGATAACTGTACAATATTCACCACACATTATTCTTTGCTATTTTCACGACAAGAGCGTACGGGCCAGGTTCCACTGCGGCTCCGCTGCTCATCATCCGCGGCTTGATACGTCATCATTACCATAGTGACCGCGGCTCGAGCTGGAGCAGCGAGGCCGCGGCTCACAGCGACCTTTTGCTACGATTCTTGATCAAAAACTGCGAGCCACGGTCGCGGCTCGACCTGTTTCCCGTGCTTTGCACTGTTTTGTATGCAAGAATTTTAAAATTCAAATTTTTTTTCGTTGCGCAGGCCAGAACACGAGGTTTTTTTGACTTCGCGGTACCGCGAATGACGAGTGTCAGTGGAACCGCGCTGCTCCGCTGCATGCAGCCAAGTGCCGCGGAGCAGCCGAGCCGCGGAGCCGCAGTGGAACCCGGCCCTAATGTGAATATTGATTAACCAGAGCGAAGTCAAATTTGAACAGTGAGTTTATGAAAGTGGCCACAGTCCTTAGCGATCATTATCCATTGTAAACTCCCTGGTTCTAAGAAATAGTGAAAAATTAGTGACGCGGATATCGGTGTGTTTCCAGAATTCTAATTTTACCATGCAGTCAACTTCGCGTATAACGACACTCGGCGGGGCATCAAAAAAGTGTCGTTATACCTGAAGTCTCATCATATGTATTACAGTTACATGGGACTTTGCTGTGGGCATGGAAATTCTGTCGTTATTCGCGAATTGTCGTTATATCCGCAGTCGTTATTAGCGAAATTAACTGTACTAACAAGTCAGAAATGTATGTATCTATTGTTTATAAAATACATACTGAGTCCGAGGTGTTTACGAGAAATATAAAACCGACACAAAACCCGAGGCGAAGCCGAGGGTTTTGTGGAGGTTTTTTATAATTCGAGTAAACACGAGGACGAAGTATGTATTTTATTTAAATTATACCTATAAAAACCGATTTTCGTTTTGGATTTTCGTACCTATTTCGGCGCATGCTCGAACTTACTCCTCGTGTTTCAACTTTCTCCTCGTGTTGTTTATTTTGGTTTACGAGTGTAATGGCTTCTTCAACGTCTACTGGACGTTTTGCGTCCGTTTCTGAAGAAGAAAGGAAGAAACTTTTGGAATCAGCAGTTCCTAAGTCAACCAAAGTTGCAACGAAGTTTTGGTTGAAGGTGTTCAGCGATTTTTTGATGCAGGAGAGCTTGTCTTGTGATTTTGCTACTGTCGAAGACAAGGTACTGGCGGAAATCCTCGAAAGGTTTTACTGCTCCGTGAGAACTCATGACAAGAAGGAATATAAACGACATGGCATACCTAACCTGTTTTGTCTGTGTTTATAGGAAGAAATGAATACTATTGTAATAGTACATAATATGGACATATGCCGTTTACATCGGATATCACTTCTCTATAAACAGAAGATTTCAGTTGTCACTTACAGTATGTTCCCCAAGTTCTTTGACTGAGAATCTGACAGTTTGGGTTCAAATCCCAACATTTGGCTTCAGATTTTTCTTCTTTCAGTTCTGATTTTTTTCTAAGTTGATAGAAAAGTTCTAAGTCCTCGGGCTAAGTGGTCAATATAAGCGGTCAATATATGCTGATATTTGACCGCTTAGGCCTCGGTCACACTACGGCAGTTTGAAGCTGGACGCAGCGTCAAGCCGCAGCACTTGACGGAGACGTGGGGTCACACAGTGTTTTGTTTTTTTGCAGCTCATGACTGCCGCGGCTTGACGCATTTGTCTACGTCACAAAACCACCAGGAAAACTCAATGACGACACGGATTCCCACGGAAACCGGCCTTTTGCTTATTATACAAAAAAATTGTCGGACAAAGTTTTCGAATTCAAGTTTCATTGATTTTTGATTACAAGAAGACGAAAGGTACTAGGTCCACGCGCGATCGTTGTTGTTTCTTTCCGAATTTGAAGCCATTTTCAGTTGTAGTGTCATTGATCAGGCAAGAAAAGTCCGCATCGCAGCTGTGTTTCTCCTGACTTCGTCATACTGGTTGTCCTTTTTCGGGCTCTTGACGACAGCACAACACTCACAAGTCAACAGTACAGGCTCCAGTTGGCCGATGACCCACTCAAACAACTGGTCCTTTCTCGACATCATTTTCTTCTCAGAAAACGCCTCGCTCTTCCGCCAGGTTCGGAGCAGAGCAACCTCGGCCTCGTAGGTCCACGGACTCATCTCGAACAAAAAGAGGGAACAAAACAAACCTTGAACAGACGAATGTCGAATAACTGCTCAACTCAAGCAAAGTGTCTTGAAACTAATTTTACTTGAACGACACTGTTTTTCCGCCAAGCGTCACTCCCATCAGCGGCAACGCAGCCGATTTCCCCACGTCAGACGCAGCAGCGTCTGACGCTCAAACTTCCCGCGTTGCGTCAGTTGCCATGGAAAAGCTCATGATTCTGACGCTGACGCAGCATTTTTGCCGTAGTGTGACCGAGGCCTAAGGGCGCGCGCTCACACTGCGACCAAAACCAGCGTCCATGCGGCCATGCGGCCAAGTTGAATGGCAACGGCATGAACTTGACCAAAACGTCGCGGCCACGTTTCAAATCGTGACCGCGACCTCCGGAGGGGGGTGCCACGACTTGGCGGCAACATGATCGTAGACGTGAAGCGTATTTGTGTACAACCTGGCCTGAAGTATGTTCAATTTCTCAAATTCCGGTGTGTTGATTCATGAAAATCGGCGGTTGTCGATGTCACCTCGACATTTGCACATTTTAAAAATTTTGTAGTTGTGGTCCTGCACGCACGCACCGCCATATATGCATTCTTTGCCCTTTTTGGACGATGTCGATTTTGTTTTTGTTTTTGTAGTTGCTTCGTTGTGATCGGGTCAGTGACCAATTTCTACAGTGTACTCGTTCAATACGATGGCAGCTTGGTCTGGCTTTTCGGTTTCGGAAATCATCTTTCTCTACTTTTCCGCGATGATGGAATGCCATACCTCAAGACATTTCAGTTACATATCATCGGAAAATACAGTTCTCATCTCGGCAACAGACGAAAGAAACCACTACCGGAATTTCCACTGCACTGGTACTTGCTCTGACCACGACTCGCACGAGGTCAGGAAAGCGAAAGCGAAAGCGCTTGGATGTCAGCGGCAGTCCCTCAAGAGTCCAAACCTACCTGATTGTATGAATTATTTTCGTCGACTTCAAGAATATGAGCCACGAGGCACTTCCTCCAACATGCAACATGCGAAAAATTACATCCAAAACGGCCACAACTTTATTAGGAAACGCACGAACTCTTTTGGATACGAACTGCAATTCGTAAAGTTTGTTATGGATTGCATGCATGTTAGGTGCAACGTCACAGTCCTAGATTACATGCATGCTATGTGTGACGTCATTATCAGATTATCTTAGCTACTGTTACCATGCGCGTAGTTACTGTTGCCATGCGCGTAGTTACTGTTGCTATGCAGCACTCTCTGTATCTAGAGTGTGCGCATGTGTGTAATGTGCTTCTCCTTGGATCCATCTTGGCTTCCTGTGCTGCATGTCTTTCCTCTCTGGTTTTACCTTTACTTCCATGTTCCCTTTCAATGCAATGTATTTCTAAACTCTCCGATCCGTGTGTATCAGTGGAACTGTGTATGAGTAGTGTGCGGGCTGAATGCGAACCACAACAAAGTTTATGTGACAAGTTCACGTCTACGCGTGTACGAGGCCTAGTGTGAGCACGACTGCCACGTTTCTGCGTTTTGCTGACGCATGGACGCGTGCTCATGGTCGCAGTGTGAGCGCGCCCTTAGAGATCACAAGTTTCTGTGGGGGTCAATAATAAGAGAATGATAATATGTGTTTATCGCCCATCTCCCGAGCCACACACATATCCAGGCACAGTACTGTTTGGGGTTTGGGCGCTTGTATTTGAACGCCTGCCACAACCGTGTGACAGGCGGATAGACATCATTGGCAAATGTGCATATCACGAGGTAATTGCTGCTCAAGAAAAAAACCCTCAAAGAGCGCAAGGGCAAAGAGTTGCTGCTGTGCCAACAAGCAGGAGACAAGAGTGCCCTCAACCTCCTTGGTCCCGCGTGCGATCGCCCCATGCTGAAAGGGCAGCCAGGGCGGCTGTGCGTACAGCCCCGCTGGTTGCTGCGCCGCGTGGCCGGCTTGCTCGGTCCACGGCGATAACTACGGTTTGCCCTACTGCAAACCTACATTTATAGTACTGTAGGGTCATGAAATTTGTACCGGCTAGGATTTCACTACACACACCATACCGGTATATACCGTAAAATCCCACCAGAGCACCCCGTCTCTCCCATGCGCCCCTCCCTGACTTTTTGTCAGGGATGTGATTGATTGTATCCTCGTATGACTCCATGATGCCGTACTGTACTGCAGACGAGTGCTCGACCCGGTCATTTTTCCTAGTAGTGATGGTGCTGCTGCTGTTGCTGGTGATGGTGATGATCCCGCAACTGTTGCTACTGCTGCTACTGGTGCTGCTACTGTTGCTGCTGGTGTTGCGACATACTATTGTTACTGCTGCTGGTGCTGCTATTTATGCAACTGCATGTTGCTGCTTTTCGTTTTTTTCCGAATTTTCCCATTGCACTGCTACAGATATGTTTGTGTTATCGTATCAACAGCAGAGCGGTCGTCCTGTTATTTCTGCAGCTGTGTAGCAGATGGATGTGACTACTACAAGGTATGTCAAAGAGTATCATCAACTGTGCTTATACATCTTCTTATAAAAATGTATACGAGTGGGTGATCGCTGAAGTATTATTAAACCATTGATATTGCTACTAGTGGTGTTATTTCTTCTGACTCCATTGTCTTTCTGTGCTGTGCTTTCTGTGCTACTGTTGCTGCTTGTGTGTGTTACTCTTGCTGTTGCTGCTGTTGCTTCTGTTGCTCGTGTGTGTGTGTGTGTGTGTGTGTGTGTGTGTGTGTTGGCCTTGCCCGTCACAAGTGTGTGGCTCAGTCCCCAGCCGCAGCCGCAGTGGAGGGGTGTTGTGGCGCGCACTGTGCGTCCTGCACCCGCTGCTTGCGTTCGGTCCAGGGCAGGAATAGACACCGTTGCTCAGGTTCTCCCCCGGCCATACCTCAGTCTTGGGGTAACAGTCCTAGGTGACCTGAATCCTGGTGACCTCTCGTTGTGTCCTGGACGCCGTGGGACGGCGTTCTCCTCTTCTCTCTCCGCTGCTCCTCCGGACCCACTTGACCATTGTGGCAGTGGCTCGATAGGACAGGACAGGTGTGTGTGTGTGTGTGTTACTCTTGTTTTTGTTGCTGTTGTTGCTGCTTCTGCTTCTGCTGTTGTTGCTGTCGCTGTTGTTGCTGCTGCTGTTGCTGCAGTTGCTTTTGTTACTGCTGTTTATGTTGCTGCTGTTGCTGCTGCTTCTGCTTCTGCTGTTGTTGCTCTCGCTGTTGTTGCTGCTGCTGTTGCTGCTGTTACTTTTGCTGTTGTTGCTGCTGCTGTTGTTGCTGCTGCTGTTTCTGTGGCTGTTTTTGCTGCTGCTGTTGTTGCTGCTTCTGCTTCTGCTGTTGTTGCTGCTGCTGTTGCTGCTGTTGCTTTTGCTGTTGTTGCTGCTGCTGTTGTTGTTGCTGCTGTTTCTGTCGCTGCTGGTGTTGTTGCTGCTTCTGCTTCTGCTGTTGTTGCTGCTGCTGTTGCTGCTGTTGCTTTTGTTGCTGCTGTTGATGTTGCTGCGACTTCTGCTTCTGCTGTTGTTGCTCTCGCTGTTGTTGCTGCTGCTGTTGCTGCTGTTACTTTTGCTGTTGTTGCTGCTTCTGTTGCTGCTGCTGCTGTTTCTGGCGCTGTTTTTGCTGTTGCTGCTGTTGTTGCTGCTTCTGCTGTTGTTGCTGCTGCTGTTGCTGCTGCTGTTGCTGCTGTTGCTTTTGCTGTTGTTGCTGCTGCTGCTGTTGCTGCTGTTTCTGTCGCTGTTTTTGCTGCTGCTGTTGTTGCTGCTTCTGCTGTTGTTGCTCTCGCTGTTGTTGCTGCTGCTGTTGCTGCTGTTGCTTTTGCTGTTGTTGCTGCTGCTGTTGTTGCTGCTGCTGTTTCTGTCGCTGTTTTTGCTGCTGCTGTTGTTGCTGCTTCTGCTTCTGCTGTTGTTGCTGCTGCTGTTGCTGCTGTTGCTTTTGTTGCTGCTGTTGATGTTGCTGCTGTTGCTGTTGCTGCTGCTTCTGCTGTTGCTGTTGTTGCTCTCGCTGTTGTTGCTGCTGCTGTTGCTGCTGTTACTTTTGCTGTTGTTGCTGCTGCTGTTGCTGCTGCTGCTGTTTCTGTCGCTGTTTTTGCTGCTGCTGCTGTTGTTGCTGCTTCTGCTTCTGCTGTTGTTGCTGCTGCTTTTGCTGCTGTTGCTTTTGCTGTTGTTGCTGCTGCTGTTGTTGCTGCTGCTGTTTCTGTCGCTGTTTTTGCTGCTGGTATTGTTTCTGCTTCTGCTGTTGTTGCTGCTGCGGTTGCTGCTGTTGCTTTTTTTGCTGCTGTTGCTGTTGCTGCTGTTGTGCTGTCGCTGTTGTTGCTGCTTCTGCTTCTGGTGTTGTTGCTCTCGCTGTTGTTGCTGCTGCTGTCGCTGCTGTTGCTTTTATTCCTGCTGTTGTTGTTGTTGTTGCTTCTGCTTCTGCTGTTGCTGCTGTTCTTGTTGCTGTTGCTGTTGTTGCTGTTGCTGTTGCTGCAGTTGCTTTTGTTACTGCTGTTTATGTTGCTGCTGTTGCTGCTGCTTCTGCTTCTGCTGTTGTTGCTCTCGCTGTTGTTGCTGCTGCTGTTGCTGCTGTTACTTTTGCTGTTGTTGCTGCTGCTGTTGTTGCTGCTGCTGCTGTTTCTGTGGCTGTTTTTGCTGCTGCTGTTGTTGCTGCTTCTGCTGTTGTTGCTGCTGCTGTTGCTGCTTTTGCTTTTGCTGTTGTTGCTGCTGCTGTTGTTGTTGCTGCTGTTTCTGTCGCTGCTGGTGTTGTTGCTGCTTCTGCTTCTGCTGTTGTTGCTGCTGCTGTTGCTGCTGTTGCTTTTGTTGCTGCTGTTGATGTTGCTGCGACTTCTGCTTCTGCTGTTGTTGCTCTCGCTGTTGTTGCTGCTGCTGTTGCTGCTGTTACTTTTGCTGTTGTTGCTGCTTCTGTTGTTGCTGCTGCTGTTTCTGGCGCTGTTTTTGCTGTTGCTGCTGTTGTTGCTGCTTCTGCTGTTGTTGCTGCTGCTGTTGCTGCTGCTGTTGCTGCTGTTGCTTTTGCTGTTGTTGCTGCTGCTGCTGTTGCTGCTGTTTCTGTCGCTGTTTTTGCTGCTGCTGTTGTTGCTGCTTCTGCTGTTGTTGCTCTCGCTGTTGTTGCTGCTGCTGTTGCTGCTGTTGCTTTTGCTGTTGTTGCTGCTGCTGTTGTTGCTGCTGCTGTTTCTGTCGCTGTTTTTGCTGCTGCTGCTGTTGTTGCTGCTTCTGCTTCTGCTGTTGTTGCTGCTGCTGTTGCTGCTGTTGCTTTTGTTGCTGCTGTTGATGTTGCTGCTGTTGCTGTTGCTGCTGCTTCTGCTGTTGCTGTTGTTGCTCTCGCTGTTGTTGCTGCTGCTGTTGCTGCTGTTACTTTTGCTGTTGTTGCTGCTGCTGTTGCTGCTGCTGCTGCTGTTTCTGTCGCTGTTTTTGCTGCTGCTGCTGCTGTTGTTGCTGCTTCTGCTTCTGCTGTTGTTGCTGCTGCTTTTGCTGCTGTTGCTTTTGCTGTTGTTGCTGCTGCTGTTGTTGCTGCTGCTGCTGTTTCTGTCGCTGTTTTTGCTGCTGGTATTGTTTCTGCTTCTGCTGTTGTTGCTGCTGCGGTTGCTGCTGTTGCTTTTTTTGCTGCTGTTGCTGTTGCTGCTGTTGTGCTGTCGCTGTTGTTGCTGCTTCTGCTTCTGGTGTTGTCGCTCTCGCTGTTGTTGCTGCTGCTGTCGCTGCTGTTGCTTTTATTCCTGCTGTTGTTGTTGCTGCTTCTGCTTCTGCTGTTGTTGCTCTCGCTGTTGTTGCTGCTGCTGCTGCTGTTGCTGCTGCTCCTGTTGTTGCTGCTGCTCCTGTTGTTGCTGTTGCTCCTGTTGTTGCTGCTGCTGTTGCTGTTGCTGTTGCTATTTCTGGCTCCTACCTTTACTGCTACTGCTGCTGTTTCTGCTGTTTCTGTGGCTGCTGTTGATGTTGCTGCAGCAGGCACGCCTCTTTCTGTATGTGTGTGTGTGTGTGTGAAAAAAATGGAAAAATGGATAATAGGGATTCACTGGCCAGAACAAGTCGCTTCAAACAGCTGTGTGGTGGTTACCAGGCTAGTCAAATGGCGGTCAATTCATCAGCCTTGCAAGCTGTTGAATGGTGTGATCCCAGCACAAGTTGCTATGTCTAACATAGCTGTTCGCTATCATCGCTTCCGCGATGGGCATGTCTGAGGTCTGAGTTGTGTGTGTGTGTGTGTGTGCGTGTGTGTGTGTGTGTGTGTGTGTGTGTGTGTGTGTGTGTGTGTGTGTTCATGTGTTCATGTGCTGTCATAGTGTCTATCGCAGATAGCGTTGCCAGTGTCTATATTGTGCCAGTTGCCAGTGTCTCTACTGTTACTGCTGCTTCCTCCATGGTCAGCTGTGCTGAACAGTGATCCATTACGTGTGTGTCAGCGAGTACTCAGATGATGGGCAGAAATCTGGATGGCAGAGCTGCATCTTAGTAAGGTACAGGTTGTGTCTAAGGATTTCTTTTTGTCAGTTACTTTCCCTTGCCTGTCTCCTGTTTCCATATATGGGTGGGTTTAAACTAGTATACCACGGATCTGGTTTGAAAATAATCCCCGGTCACATGACCACACTGTGGTAGTTTTGGTGAGAACTTGAAGACGGCTGGGCATGTACTGTCATTTGAGCCGTCAGATGCGAAAAGGGTGCTTATGGCATCACAGAGCAAATAGAGTAAAGTGCGTCAGAGTGACAGGCTGTCAAGTACCTGTCACATGCATGAGTGAATCTTGATGTGACGTCATTTTTCGATCGTTGCGGGATGAGTGAGAGTGTGCATCCCCCAGCGCTGGTATGTACACTAGCGCACTGCTGACATTCCCAGCTTTTCGTAGATACTTCAACCGGCCTGACACTCCAAAGCACGGCGGATTTACATACAAAAGAAACTGCTTTTTTTGTGGCGCTCACGAGCTCCGTTCTGATTCTGAACGAAATTCTTTTGTCTCCTGACCTAAATTGACGATATCTTCATGATGGGTTTGGATTTTTGAGTCAGGTTTTTTGGAGGTGAAGCATAAAAGCCTATAGAGTTTGCTTGAGTCCTTATCTCAATTTGACCAAAATATGCCATAAGCACCCTTTTCGCATCTGACGGCTCATTTCTGAATGTGACGTTTACTGCTGGTGATACTGCCACTGCAAGTGTGTCTATACTGGTGGTTGTGCTACTGCAGCTATTGATGTGCTGCCAACTAATGTAGCTGCTGTGCTGGCAAGACCTGTACTGTTGCTGTCCTGGCAAGACCTCTACTGTTGCTGTGCTGGCAAGACCTATACTGTTTTTGTACTGGCAGGACCTATACTGTTTCTGTGCTGGCAAGACCACTACGGTAGCTGCTGCTGCTGTTGCTGTGCTGCTGCATTCGCTAATGCTGGTGTGGTTGCTGCTGCTGCTGTTACTGTTTCAGGGGTACTTTCCGCAGTGGCGGCGTGGTTGCTCTTATTGCAGCGGGTTGTTCTGCCAAGGTCTCCATATGCAAAGTGATCTGTTG